CCCCCCCCTTTCTCTTTTTCCCCTCTCTCTCTGTTTTCACTCGGGACACGAGGGAGGCAGCTGCATCCAGAGGAGACCCCAGCTTGGATGGTGACTTTCCCTGCACTTCCTGGGGTGTCCCAGGGGGGGCGAAGGGATGGAGGGGGGATGAGCTCAGGACAGACCTCTCCTACCTGCCCCTGAGCTCTGCGACTGGTTTCTCACCGCTCGCACACTGGGCATCTGCCTCGACGGCAACGTGCCACCACCACCTCCGTTAAGCTGGCAGGGAAACGGGGTCTGCGGGGGGGTAAAAACTGTCCGAGCTGGGATGGGCAGGACAGAGAGGCCGGTAAAAAGCCCATGATGAAAGGAAGGGTTTGGCTGGGATGTTCCTTCCTCCACCACGCTGCTCTGCAGCGTCAGGGCACGGATGCACGCGTGGGAGCGGGAGAGCACAATGTGGGGGCCCAAGGGCAAAGCTGGCTGGGGGGGTCGGCTCCGGAGACACTCTGCATCCCAGAGCCGGGGCAACGGTGGGGTCTGTCCTTAAACCCACCCTGTGCAAGCTCCTGGCAGCATCACCGTTAGCCACGTAGGTGTGGAATAAAAACCTCGCGGCTAATCCCTGCTCTGCAGTCAGCGTCGGCAGCCAGGGATGCTGAGAGCCCTTGGCCTGAGGGACCACCACCCCGAGGGTCCTCCCAGAGGAGGAGAAAGCTGCTCCCCGACCAGCTGAGGGTGTAAACAGAGGAAAGGAAGATCAGGAAGGAAAGGGGAGAGATGGGTAGAGGCTGAGGGTTTGCTGAGGGTTGTGCAGGCAGCCCCGGAGCCCCGGCTCCGCTCCCGGCAGCTGCCTGGATGCTGCTGAGCAGAGATTTCCTTCGGCAGCAATAACAAGACAAAGATCTTGGGCACCATAAAACTTCCTGGTGTGTTTAATTTTTTTTTTTTGTTTAATTTCTTTTTTTTAGTTTAAATCACTACAAATATAAAGTTCTGAAATAAATAAGACGAAACAAGGGCATACTTTGCATCTCTGAACGCAGACACCGAGGGACCCTGCCCTCGGGAATGGGGTGCAGAGGACTGGGGGATCCCAACCTCAGCGCAGAGGCAGAACGGCACGCGGGTTTGAATGAGGCTCAGGTGACCCGTTGACCAAAGCCCTGGGGCTCGTCACACCGTGATTTCTGCTATAACGGTAAGAAACGTTGCAGACCGTGTCACCCTCGCAGGCTGTTTGGTTCTGTGCCAGGAAGATTGCTCCTGGCTCCTTTAACCCGTAGCCGCTGCCCTGCTACCTCCAGACCTCATGCGCTGTTAGCGAACAAGCGCTTGTCTTTAATGCAGTTATTTTATCATCTCTTGGAAGGGCAGTAATTGTGTTACAGCCATGACTGCATGCCCAGAAGGGAGCATTTTCATCATCTAAAGTCTGATTTTCCAGGTAACACAGCCCAGAGATTCCACTCTCACCAAACTTAATATTACTTGAGCCGAACGGAGCACAACCTCTAAAAGCCGCCTCACCTGAATTTACAAACCCTCCGCCTCACCAGAACAGAAAGGGTTTGGTCTTGTGGTCCATCGACCGGTCTGAACCAAGAAATGGGGTCGAACCTTTGAGTTATGGGTCCCTTAAACTCAGCAGAGTCCTAGAGGTTCATTCCCATCAGCACGTTGAGCGGCCAAGATCTCCCGCCGCGTTTGCAGGGCTGAGGCTGGGGGACGGCTCGGCTTTTGGTTTCTCACCTGGCAAAACCTCGTAGATGTCATTGTCTTCCCCCTCAACATTTGGCTCATCCTGATTCAGGGCAGTATTGTGGGATGTTGTGTTCACGGAGTCAGAACTGTCCACATCGTTGTAGAGCTCTTCGTCATCCTCCTCATCATATGGGATAGTGAGGGAGCTCAGGTCTGGCAGAAGGGAGAAAAATCATGGTGAGAAAAAGAAAATCAAAGTACTAGCTGGGTGCTGATACTTTCAGCGGGCTGAAATCAAGTAACGACGCCTGTGCTGCTGTACTTTGCGCTCACCGTGGACCTTGCGCGGCCCACGAGGACCTGGTGTGAAGAAAATGGGATGGAAGCTGGGAACAGGCTAAACCAAAGAAAAAGCCCAGGAGAGGATGACAAATGCCAGAGACCAAAGCCAAATTCATCACGTGCCTCAAGGAACTGGGCCTGACACCATTCCCGGGGAGGCTGCCTATGGTTTCCCGAGGGTTTCCATGGTCAAGGCTGGAGTCTTGTCTCAGTTTTACTGGTCTCAAACTGGAACAACTCCAGTGAAGCCAAAGCAACAGCCCGTTCCTCCTCAGCCAAGCACAGAACAGCAGATCTGTGACCCTGGCAGTGAGGAGCGATTCCCACCCTTTTCTTGTCCCCACTTGGTGACACTTGCAGCCTTAGAGAGATCACAGGGCTCTATTCTCTAAAACCAGCCAAACGCGCTGGGGAATCGAAACCAAATGCCTGTGGGCTCCAACCCACAAGACAGCAAAGCCCCAGAACATCTCTTTTGCGAAGAGGGGATGCTGGGACCCCAGCAAGGTCGTGGCAACCAGCACAAGTCCATGAGTTGCTGGAAGGAGCATCCCAAGCTGGGTGGGAAGGTGCTGCCAGGATCTGCCCAAACAAACAGGGCGCACGGGCTCGGGCCAAGCTGCCAGACTCACCTTTCAGGAGGAACTGGATCTGATCCACCCAGTCTTCAGCTTCTGCTGGGCTTGGGGCTGTGAACTGAAGAGAGGTTCAGCTGTTACTGTGCTGCTTCTTGTAGGGAAGAAGAGGAAAAGGATTTGCAGCTAGAACAGGAGATGGAGAACCTGGATCTGCCATTCTTGACCCTGTGACTTTGGGAAAGCCATTTCACTTCTTTATCTGCCTATTCCAAACAGGGAAGCAGAAGCGGAACAAAGCTAGACTATCCCAGAGGAAGGCTGTCAAGCTTAATTCATTAAAATAATTCAGATGAAAACCACAATCCCCACTGAATATACTACACTGACTCTGAACCAAGACTCTACATCCAAAACCTGCCTGAAGCTCAAGGAGGCTCTCGTGCACACTTTGTGGATTGGGCCAAGTTTTTCATTACATCAGTTTTTAGGCTCCCCCCTGGACGCTCAACTAACTGCAGGTTTAATTTTAAACTGTCTCTGAGCTGCCTATTTAAAACTGGGCTTTCCAAACCCAACCCTCCACTGCTTCTACCCCATGCTCTCACTTAACCCTCGTGCCCCACAAGCGCAAAGAGAGCCCAAGATCACTCTCGTGCCAAGGGAAAGTCCCTACCGAGATGACCTGTCAAGAAGAAGAAGCATCGTCACCTTCTGCAGGGCCCTTTGGGTTGTTTTACCAGGGGGGGTTGGAGATTCACACCCCCCCTGATGCCGCAGGTCCAGCCTGCGCCGCTGACCCCAGACCTGGGACCATGCGCTTTCGTGCCTAGTGCTGACACCAGCACAAAAGGTTCATTTTTTTTCCCCCAGTTCCTACCTCGTAGGTGCGTTTTCCGGGGCAGATTAACTCGAAACAGCATCTTTTTCGAGAGTCTTTGCGGAGATGGAAAGCCAGCCGGGCGCTGTAGTGCTCAATGGAGAAATTGCCTTTCGGTTGCTTGCCTGGAAGAAGAGAAACGTGCAAAACCTGGAGTTTGCATCTTTTTTTTTTATCAAACTTGCAGTACTGCTGGGTGGCGCAGATGTCTGTTGCCCACGTAGGGAACCTGAAGTACACCACGTGTCGATGGGAAACGGCCAGAAAAAAAATCAAAACCCTTCGCTCTAAATATGTCCACCTCCAGGAAATCCGAAGGGAATATTATAAAATCTTCATAAAAGACACAGTAAAGAGGATGCCCTTTTAAGTCTCAAGAGATTGCAAAAGGTTGCCAGGGTCAGAAGGTTGCGTGAGATGAGCTGGTTGTAATGAAGCAGAGACCACTGCGTACTCGGGGAAATATGATGCCAATGATTATTCTGCTGGTGAGGCATTAACGGGCTGGAGTACAGGAAGAAATACTAAGTGGAGCCTTTGAGAATTGGCCTACGGACCTTGGCGATGCGCACGCGCGGCCGGTGCCAGCCAGGGCGGAGAGAGGGAACTTCCCTGCAGACACCTGAGGCGTCTTTATTTACCCCAGCTCAGTATTTCCTTATGAATCTTCTTGAGGAAGTGTGGGAGCACGATTCAGGTGGTTGCTCTTAACTGTTTTTGTGTTGGTTTTTTTTTTTTTAAATTCGTAGATCTTTAAGAAACTTCCAGGGGTGAGGTCAAGCCCCGTACAAGGATTTCGGCCCATCGATAACAGGTTTGCTTTACCCCGTTGTCTTCTGGAGAGCATTGGGAAGCTGACAACCCCTCGTCCCTCACAAAATGTCAACCCTTGGCTTCAACCCCTACCTCTGCTAGCAGCTCGTAGCCCTGCACAACCCCCGCTAGGGTGAGGGGAGTTGGGAAGCTTGTCTGGAAACTAAAAGTGCTCAAGATCCTCGGGCAAAGGATGTGGAAGAAGGACAAAGACCCAGCTTCATCCCCGTGACCCACTGGAGTTTAATCCTGTCCTCGCCGCAGACCGGTCACTGTAAACCCCTCGGATGTACGTGTGTATTTTGTAAGCTGTTAGCATGCTGTCTTTCTGGATGGGTGGAACAGAGGAAGGCCATCTATCTAATCATGCCAAACTCTGTTGGAGATATTAGCTGTCTGTTTATACGTACCTGATGGAGCATGACTGCAAAATATTTATATACACTGACACACGGATTATGTACAGTCACTTAGGGGGTTGAAGCCCAGCTGATGGCTAATGGAAAACTTGGTACCTCGTTTTCTTTACGCACAGCTCTGTTGCTGGGTCTCTCTTCTTTTGCCCCATACCCATGTAGGTGTTTCAGGGTGGGAGAAGCAAGCTGAGCTCTATCTTTCTAGAACCTGCTTGTTACGCCCTGGTAGGGAATGACAACCTTCCCGCCGTACACGCTTTTCTCTTGTCAGCTATTAGTCTGTCCTGCAGCTCTCCAGTTCTCTTTTTCCAGCCCTTTCTGTGCCCTCAGCCACCACCCACGGTTTGGGGACCAGGGGCAGATACCTCACCACTTACTTTTCTCATTGGCGTAGTAGTAAAAGGTCCTTCTGTTGAGGACACACCATCGCTTCTGCCACTCTGAGCCGAAAAAGCTGTGCTCTGGAAAGAAAAGGACAGCAAAAGAGTAAAAAACACTCACTTCTGCCCTTTCATCGTATGCTTCAGATGAACATTTAGGGGAAAGAATAATTTTTTTCCCAACAAAATCCTGCAGATTTCCGACACAAAATTCAGGCAAAGCAAGTTTAGATACAAACCTCAACCGAGGAGAACCAGGCTGGAGCCCCGGCAAGTCTTCCCAGCTCTCCAGGAAGAGCTGAGCTGAGCTGCTGGGACCCTTTAGTCCTGCTAACTGGGAAAGAACACAGATTTGGGTTAAACCTCCCTAACTGAGGTTTAAGCAAACGTCTTTTACTCTGTAATTGGAGCAAGCTAAAACATGCACAGGGCCAGTTACACAGATCAGCTGACAGCCATGAGGAAAAAAGGGTTGTTCTTGCCTCATACCACCTGTCATACAGTAAATAAATCAAGATAAAATCTGAGTGATGAGGAAATAATTTGTAGCTTTCACAAGAGTCAGTAAAATCAAGATAAACCCGAGGCTGACTCACAGTCCTTATCTCAACTTGCTAATGTGTGTGATGCTACGAACTACCTTGTCTTCGCTGGGATTTTATCCTCATTAGGTAGTGCTCGTTAGAAGGGCACATCTTGCCTTAGAGGACTGGGCTGCTGCTTAATTCAATTTCTGGGTTTTAATCTTTGTGCAGTTTGATGATCTGCAAAGCGAATAAATAAAGGCTGTGCCCTCCCTGTGTGTAAGAAGAGCCTGAAAGATTCTGCATGGGCCTAGAGATAAATCCGCAGAGAAGATGTTATTTTTCTGTTTGTTCTTCACCTGAAAACTTGCATTCTTGGTAATTCTGAGGTGACATCCCCAAACCTTATCTTACGATGTACTTGTCAGGCCTTACCTCGAGACCTCTTCTCCAGATATCCCTGCTTCAAAATGTTCCCTGTGTCTTGACCAGGCTTCAGTGCGAACTCCTCCAATCCTAGAGAGAGCAAAGCAAAGCAAAGCCTTGGGATTTCCCATCTGCACAACCCTGCAGCCCAACATTTTCAGCCCCTTTCTCTGCAGAAGAGGCTTGGGAAGGCAGATCAGCGGCTGGAGGTGAAAATCATGGTCTAGCACAAGCTCACCAGCTCTTCCCAATCCCAGTTGCAGGATCCCAGAAGCCCTCAAGGAAATCAGGATCATCATTCACGCAGACCCACCCTCAGCAAGCTGATGCTCAGCCCCTTACCCCTCAGCCAAGGCTCGCTGGGTTCCTGGGAGCCGTCAGCACCAGGCGGGATCTGGGCAGGTTTATGAGCTTGGAAAACACAATCCCTTTGTCCGATGTCTGGTCTGACCCAGACCACGGCACCTCGCCCAGGCTGGCGGATGGAGCCTGTGGCCACGGAGGAGCCCTGGCGCTCGTGGCACGAGGTGATGGCCACATCCTACCCCCAAAGGCAGATGTCCCCAAGCCACGGCTGGCTGCTGAGCAGGTCTCCCCGTCCCCTCCTGCTCATCTCCTGTCATCATAATTTGTATTAAAACACTAAAACCGACTAGTGTACTAAAAGACTAAAAATTACTAACTAAATGCCACTGATCACCTCCCCAGTGCCCAGCCTTGGCAGCCTTTGCCATATGAAAAACTTCCCAGAATCCCAGGTCCCAAGAGCTTCCCTTGTTTTCTTTAGTGTGTCTCACTAACATCCAGCTCCCGGCCCAATCCATCCCCTCCGTCACCTCCCTCACTCGGAGCCTATTTTCATTTTTCTGTTTTACAGTTTGCAAACTCTGGGCTCGCTATAAATCCTCCACCAATGGCTCTCGGGGCGAACAGCAGACAACAAGTTTGGGTTGGCGGGAAGGCTCCCCTACGTCTGTCTCCTCTGTTGGCTGGAAACCGGATCCTTCAAAGACCAAATCCTCGGCTTGTGAAAAGCTGTCCGAGGCGATTTAGATTAGAGGAAGCTCCGGATGCTCTGGGCTTGCCCCTCTGCAACGCCTGGAGGACACAGACAGCCCCTTCCCGCGTGGAGAAATCTCATTTCTCTCCAGTATAAGTTGGGTTGAGCTCACTGCCGGGTCTGCTCCGGAGAAAGGCAGAGTGGCAGCTTCAGCGAGGATGCAAAGGAGCAGGGTTTCGCCTTTAGTAAGTGCAACTCGCTGCACAAGCAGTCGGGGAGCTGAGGGGAAATCGAGGCCTTCCTACAAACAGCGCTGAACGTCAGCTTTATTCTTTTTCTCATAATGAAAACAAACAAGGATGCTGAAAAGGACCTAAATTCTCTTCCAGGGTTCAGACTGGCCGCTACCAGAAGATTTTTCCCAATGCAGAGGGTGCACAGAATAATGCCCCGAGCAGCTCCTGCACCCTCAGAGATGGGACCCTGTGCTGCCTCCGGCTCTGGAATTTGGGGAAGGGGCTCTGCAGCCCATCAGCCCCAGACGGGTTGCCAGAGTAGCCGTGAGCAGAGGCCACAGTGTCCCCAGCCCTGCCACCTCCCAACCTGGCCTCCCTCCTCTGTGCACAGGCGAAGGCACGCGCCCCGGCACAAACACACTCGGGCTTTTTTTCTAGTGCCGCTGAGCATCTGACTTGTGAAAAGCCACACTGTCTTCTCAAATCCAAGCCCCAACCCCTTTTGCTAACGCAAATCTAAATGTCATTTTACGGGACATTTATAATTATGAAAATGGGACGGTGCTGCCGCGTGCACAGGGAGACCCTGCGAGTATGAATATTACATTAATGTACCCAACACCAGCTCGCTGATCCCGCTGGCAGGAGCATAAGAAATGCTTGAGTGAAACTTTTATTTAGACGTTAAGAATCCAGGCCCCAGCGGGGTGACGGAGGCAGCCCCGGCGAGATCCCATCAGCGCGAGCGCTCGAATTGAATTACCCAGGGGGGAAGGCAGGAGCTGCGAGTGCTGCTTTGCTTATTTAATTTCATTTACTTTCAGTACATTATCAGCATGGGGCTTCCCTCTGCCCCCCGTTCCCCCAAGAAAACTGGCTGCGGAAATTGCCAGCGCGCAGGATGCTGCTGCTGCTGCTGCTTGAGCCAAGGCAGGGACGCGTCTGGCCACCCTGGTCCTCCTTGGGATGTGCTTTCAGTTGCCAAGAGAGATTTGGGGGAGCGCAAGGACCTTTCAGACGCCACAAAGAACAACCGAAGCGGGGAAGCAGCGCGATGGCAGTCAGCAACAACCTCTTCCAGCCCCACATCTTCTCTCTTCGCCCATTTACTCGGCGCTTGCCCGTAAGCAGGCAGGACCCCTGGCACAGCTCCTGTCTTCTCGGTGGTGCTTTGCCCTATCTGGGATCAATTTTCCAGCAAGCAGATCCCATGTTTCAGGTTATTTGGGGCCCTGAATCCCAGGATCTGCTGGGCCGGGAGCTCCCTGGGGCTGGGGCATCTCTGTGGCATCACCTCTGAAACGTTGTCAGGAGCCCAAATCTCTCTCACTCTGCAAGAGACACCGTGCCTCAGTTTCCCAGCAGGAAAATCAGAATGAAAGGAGACTCCCTTCTTAAATACTCGGTGGCTGCTCAGACAAACTAATACAATTAAGGAGGGGTTGCGGGGGCTGATTCGATTGCACGGGCTCTGGAAATTTTAAGTTTTACAGACTATGACACGAAGATGACAGCTGTAACCTGCGCGTTGCACGCAGCCTCTCTAATGCAGAGCCGGGAAGATTAAATCTGTGCGAGGTGGGTGAGTGCAGGGGCTGCGGCGCTCGGGGCTCTGCCTGGCTGCAGACGGGGCTGGGGCTATGTGGGGTGTCCCCATCCCCCCCCCTA